TGGATTAACTCCTAAAAAACTGTATTTTTACATACCTATGAAAAATTTCCTAGTTCAAATCTGAACGATAACTTAAGTTGGATTGTTATCCATGTGTGTTACATAAAGATAATTTCCGAATATGTATACAGGTATGAATACAACATTGTCTGAAAGAAACTTACGTAGACATACTAAATGAAAATAACATATAATGTAAAAGAAACATGAATAAGAAAAACGTCAAGAACTATTTTTCTTTGTAATTCAACCAGATCAGGAGTGGAATAGCTTGCAATTAAATTGTTAGCCTTTTACTTTGAACAATGACAACATAATACATACTCATTTTCTTACTCGCCTTGAAACAATTCAAGGCGAGTAAGAAAAACATTTTTTTATGGTGAAGGACGGTGCGCAATATTAATTAACATAGATAATAAAATATAAAATGATAGTTATAAGGTCAAAGTCAAAATTTCTTTATTCAATGCAGGCTAATTTTAACTTCTTATTGAAAATCAAAAATACTATCTACGACGGATTCAGTCTGCGGTCATTGTATCATTTTTTTTTATTATATAAACACAGAAAAGTATTTAACGGTAAATTTGGCAGCAACTAGAGGACTTGGAACTGCAGATAAAAAGTCATTTCCACACACCCTTGTCCTCAATGTATTATAACAATGTCTTCCATGTCTTCGACATTATAACAATGTCGAAGACATGGCCCTTTGCATTAAGATAGAAAATATTTGAAAATTAATTAATTTAATTAATAACTCTTATTAAATTTTTGAAAATTGTCACTTTTATATTATACAAACGGACCGGACAGACTTTTTCCTGTACACACGATTTAAATTCGACAACGAATTGTGAATCTAAACCATTCTCGAATTAACCTGAAGACACAAAAATATTCATTAAAATCGGTCCAGCCGTTTAGGAGGAATTCAGTGACCTACACACGTACAGAGGAATTATATACAGAAAGATAAATTAATCTACCAAGAAGCTAGTCTAAACCTCCTGGTATGTCTAACGTGTCACCACGGCCCGATGCTATGATTTAAAAAAACACACCTCATATGGATATTGTTTGGTACATACAATAAAAACTGTAATAATGTACTTTAAGGATATTCAGTCGTTTGGAAGTAAAGTGGTCATCAGATTTATTCTTGACGAGAACAGAACGGTATGTTGCAACTGCCGGTGAACTCAGTACGCCAGGCTCCTAGTATCTAACTACGATTTGTAATATTACTAGCGACCCGCCCGGCTTCGCATGGGTGCAATGTAATACATGTAAATCTTCCTCTTGATTCACTCTATCTAGTAAAAACGCATCAAGATCCGTTGCGCAGTTTTAAGGGTCTAAGCATACATAGGGACAGACAGACAGCGGGACGACTTTGTTTTACACTATGTAGTGATTATTCTAGATATAATTTAAAACGCTTTTTTGAATTTCAGCAATATAAAAAGTGAGATTGGGTAAATAAATGGGTATAGTTTTCAGGACATTAAAATCAGGAAAATACTAAATAATAATAAAATCACAGATACATAACTGTTGTTTTTTAGCGGGGCCCAAAGATCTTCATACCTTATCTCAAGTCAAAAGAACCTTAAAGTGGAATGTGGATACTAATTATGAACATTTAACAACAATATGTTAAAGAACACAAAAAATAACAGTTAATAATGTATAATGATAGCTGTATTTGAACATAGTAGAAATAACTACTATATTGCACGTGCGATGTGCGTCAAACTATAAAACTGTACAATCCATGAAAAAAAATCTAGTTGTTGCTTTAACTATTTTTAATTTAATGTTCTTTTTCCCTTGATTTACTAAAGAAGGCTAAACTTCTAAACTTCGCCTAGCACTTTAAAAAAATTTAAAAAATTATTATCAGAAACTTACATTGTATTTTAAAAATCATTAATCTTAAAACATGTAGAAAAAGTACGAAAAGATTGTCGCCGCTGTGGGAATCGAACATTAATCTTGCAATTTTAAACTTAGGAAATCGGCAATTTCTTTGCGTTGTTTGTTTTAGGGTCGCGTACCCAAAGGATAAAACGGGACCCTATTACTAAGACTCCGCTCTCTGTATGTCTGTCCGTCTGCCACCAGCCTGTATCTCATGAAAGGTGGTAGACAGTTGATAATTTCACAGTTGACGTATTTCTGTTGAACAACTTCAAAACATTAATGCAATTTCTTTGCGTTGTTTGTTTTTAGGGTCGCGTATCCAAAGGATAAAACGGGACCCTATTACTAAGACTCCGCTCTCTGTATGTCTGTCCGTCTGTCACCAGCCTGTATCTCATGAAAGGTGGTAGACAGTTGATAATTTCACAGATGACGTATTTCTGTTGAACAACAAATACAAAAAATCAGAATACAAAATTTTAAGTGAGGCTTCCATAAAACAGATATTACATTTTTTGTCGTTTTTATAAATAATGATACGAAACCCTTCGTCCAACTTAGTCCGATAGTTAATATTTGTAGAAAAAGTACGAAAAGATTATGGCCGCTGTGGGAATCGAACCCACGTCTTTGGCATTCGCGGCCAGACGCTTTAGCCACTAATCTAAACGGTTGATTGCCACACCAACGAAAACCTTAACGTCTTTTATCTACATTGTTTTTGCCGATGCCGCTCCGGCCCTGACCGGAGCGGCATCGGCACAAGTAGCGTCCAAAACAAGGGCTTTGCGTCTTTTCCAAGGAATCAAACTTAAACCGTTGGGTCTCTTACCATCGTTGCGAAATATGCCACATGGCTCTAAAATAGATGGAACATTGATGTAAACAAGAGCCGTTCAGGGAACCGTGGCGGCCCGGGCTCATAGAATAGGGGTAAGGTATCCCCATATATGCTTGTGGTAAAAAGCGACAAAAAGGGGACACGGATGGGCAGCAGCACGAAGTGGTCTCGTGCTGCTTCAAAAGTATGAGAGAATCGAAGAAGGTTTATCCTTCTCCGAGGCGTGCTCAGGTGTAGTACCGAGGGACACCGGTGCGTTCTATGGGAGATCCCGGAGTCACTCCAAATGTACGGAAGGCGGCCACCTAGGGCTAGGTTTTAGTGGCTAAGAATCCCACATAGCCCTGTCATATAAAGTGACAGGGTATCTTTCGAAGATTTCCCCCCCGATAATAAAAAAAGAAGGAACCGTGGCGGGAAAAGCGGCCAGCACTTTTTTGACACGTAAGCCCGTGGAGACCAAATTTGTCTACACTGACAACACAAGGGCATCGGTGTGGTTGATAAATCGGTGCCCCTAGACGGATTCCTATAGGAATGCGTAAGCTTACATCGTCAAGTAATGTGCACAAATTACTTGATAGTAAAGCGTGAAGTCAATCAGTCGATTCTTTAGATGAGACGCCTAGGAAACAGGGACGCTCTAAATTACTTTCTAAAGATTGAAACGTATCTTTCTGTACTCCCAGTGGGATATTTTCGTTTGAACAGATAGACAGCCAAGCCATCCTTGCCTCCTCGGCATAGGAAACTTCTGAATTGTGATTAAGGATATTATTAAATAAATGATTTACGCTATGCACGGAAGGCAGGTAGTGCGACACTAGAAATTTTCCTTACACCGATACCATCAAAACGAATTGGCAGCGTAGCTTGACTTCAGCTTAATTCATTAAGAGGTAAATTTAGAATTTTTCTACACCTGATTTAAGATAAAAATCAATAATTCAATAAAAAGATGGGTACAGCATAAAATTCATTTCTTGCAAATATTTTCATGCATCTGCTTCTTTCAAGGAAAGCCACTGTAATCTATGTTAATCGAATAGATTTTCTTTTATTACCGTCTGTTTCAAGTTCAGTTGCATCCGATGAACTTTTTACGACCGGATAGTGTTTACCTTTTGGAAGGGTTTGCTTGATACCAAATCAAAATAATCGTTTTCATATCACGAGAATTTATAATATTTCTTCATACTCTTTATCTTACCTCTATTTCCAATTAGTGTCTAACAAATAACATTAGTAACATATACTGCTGTGTCCGCGACTTCGTCCGTGTGGTATTTAAAATAAACAAAACTTCTTAAATAAAAGTAGCCTAAAGTAAATTATCAGCCTATAGATGTCCCACTGCTGGGCAAAGGCCTCCTCTGTACAAAGGGCATAGTCCACCACGCGGCCCCTCTGCGGATTGGTGGACTTTACATATTTTGGAAATATTTTTTTGTTATTATTTCGAAAATATGCAGGTTTCCTCACAATGTTTTCCTTCACCGCTGAGCACGTGCCGGCACTGGAGATCGAACTCAGGTTGCTGTGTATATTGAATTAGGCGAGCGCCCGGACACTGAGTTAGTCTAAGTTACACCTTATTACATTAGCTATCTGGATCTGATCTTTGAGAGATTAGCCGGAATAAACAGAGAGCCAGAGAAAAATTGTAAGAAACGTTTTGGTGTATGTACCGAGTATACATTATTTTACGCATTTAGTAGAAAGCGGTTATTTTAATATTACAAATTATATTTATATATATATATATTATAGATTGGTTCATCACCGTGGAAAATAGTATGAAATCTCCATTATTAGTTCCTTCGGCACCGCCTACACTAAGCCTAAGAGTCCAAAGAATACATCCAGTAGAGCTATCACGGTCGACACCCCCGTTGACAGCACGCTACAGATAGCCATAAGGCGCGATAAGGATTACGAAATCGGTGACGTAGTGTGTCGTAGCATCAGCTAGTGCGTGCGTCCGCCACACCGGGTCCAGCTCTAACGTGCCGCCGTAAGACAGTTTAATACGGAGACCGAGAGGCGCGCGTCCGCACTCCGCGTCGAATGTACACCGCGCTCACCCGGCTGGCATCACCCACGGTACAATCGCGTACAATCGCGCGCAACGGTGTTCGTAAACTGTGCCACAATTGATTCTTCCTCACGTGTGTACTTTTGCACTTCGATCACGTAGAGCCGGTGCAATTTTGTGCAGACTGTGAACAGGATGAACGGTGAGTTGGGTTTTGCGCAAACTTTTTTTCCGAAGCCGCTGTGATTGTTTGCGTGTACTTTAATGACCTTATAGTTGAACTGTATCAAACTTCAATGTAGAAGCTTTTACGTCGATTGAATTTAAATATTTCTGTCACACATAAGGATGATAAAGAAACTTGTAGTGTACTTAGGTACTAGCTTCGTTTATTGGATAGTAATTGCGTTATAAAACTGTGGACTTAAATCCCAAAAAAACGAATAAATTGAACAAACGATCCTATATACAATTAACGCATCAAAAATTAAAATAAATGTATTTAAATTGCTAAAGAGCAATGCAAAAAATCACAAGAGGTTCGTTAAAAAGTTATATATTTTAAAAATTATATATTTATTTTAATTTACCATCCAAAAAAATAGTTCTCACAAATAAATTTCCACATTACACAGAGAAAAACGAATAAAAAAAACTGTTTTAAAAAATATTCGCAGTGCAAATCTAGAAAGTAATTATATTTACTCTTAAATCGCCTTAGTCAAGAAACACATACATAAGTACTTACTCGAATGGTAAATAACAAATGCCACACCGCAACATATCTAAATGATTCAGCACACCTATATTAGCATTTTAAGTATTAGAATACTAACACATGTTATGATTCCTGTTTACCCCAACATGGTGTAAATATGCTCAATAAAAACGAGAATGACAAATCTAGACTCATTAAAATAAGTAAAACCCTGTCTATCCTCCTAGGGATATTCCACAATGCGTCAGACAAATAGACAATTATGTTTGCGTAATTACATATTATAAACGTTAAGGTATCATTTCTACGTCGTTCTATTGTCTGTGTTTTTTACGCGAGAATGAGGCCAGCGTGCTGGCGGTTCACCTGATGCTAAGTGATGACCACCCTGAGATTTGCAACACCCGCAGTGTTGCCGATGCGTTGCCACCGTCTAATAAAGTGGGATCCGATAACTTTACTCACCAGACAAAACGCTGACACAGTACTTCAACTTCACGCCGGTTTTCTGTGAGGTGGTGATCGTCCACGGACCTGCCCATTCGTGCAACATCGAGGACTATTTCGTGGCCCTACCGCAGTGGCCATTTGATAGATCTCGCGTTAACTTTGTCTCGGAGCCGCGGTGTTTAACGACACCACTTCCATCCTATTCAAAATTAAGTAAGTGACAAAACAAACGAATGGAAATTAAGCCAATAGTTTTACATACGAGCGAACTCATTTAGTCTCAAACTTGATGGAAACCCGTGGTAGCTCAGTGTCCGCTCTCGCTTTTAATTCTATATAACATGTATTCTGCCAATTCGCAATGGGGTCCCCTGGCTGACTATGCTCTAATAGCACATGTAAAAAGGAGACCATTGGGCAGATATGGTGCGTATACTATACGCTAGGCTATTACTATACGTTTTCCGTATGCCTGCCCACGTGTCACCACCAAATTTTCTCAGGAACGGGTGGACTTAGCGAGTTGAAATTTATACAGGAAACTGAGGTCTGTGCCGCTATTTACTAACTAATTTAAAGTTAGCTCAGCGCCCGGACAGCTTGCTTTTAACTACATTTACTCGAGCAACCTGAGTTCGATCCCCGGTGCAAGCATCAGTGAAATTTTTTTTTTTTTTTATGGGAATAGGAGGCAAACGAGCATGTGGGTCACCTGGTGATAAGCGATCACCGCAGCCCATGGACATTTGCAACATCGGTTGAGTCGCAATTGCGTTGCCGGCCTTTAAGGAAGGAATAGGCTCTCTTCTTGAAGGTCCCTAAGTCGTATCGGTCTGGAAATACCGCTGGTATTGTTAATTTTAAGTGCTAATTATCACGTACTCGGCGGTGAAGGAAAACATCGTGGGAAACGTGCATATTTTCGAAATAATAATAAAAAAATATTTCGAAAATATGTGAAGACTGCCAATCCGCAGTGCGGTCGCGTGGTATGCCCTGATACTCTCTTCACAGAGAAGGTCTTTGCGCAGCAGTGGGACATTTATGGGCTGTTACTTTACTTTAATTTAAAACTTTTTTTTGAATTTATGTTTCACTTTTCCTTATAGTTTTGTTTACAGGACCTTGATTTTTATACGCCTAATAGAGGACGATGGAGCTCAGTATCTGGTATAAACTTACTAGATCCCCCCGTTTCTAAGAAAATCGGTAGTGATTATTTACCAATTTAGCACTGGATCGTTCCTTTTAAACTTGAGATTACTTTTAAAGAGTTAGCTTATTTATATTTGAATGTTAAGATTACGTTTATAGAGCGATTGCATAGCTGATATTAAAAGATCTGGATCATTAGTGCTCCTTGTATTTGTAATTATACAAGCACTTTATTCATCCCCTTAAAAGGGTTGCGTGCTTCCATCAGCTTCGTTTGCTATAATTAATAAAATATATATAGTATATTCTGCGCGACCAGACTCAATCAGCACTCTTTGTGTAGATCAGACAAACTTAAAAATTAAAAAAAAAACAGACGGTATTCAATTTTCGGGCGTATTATTTCAGAGCGATATAGAGTTAAAACATTAGACTAGAAATCTTAAACTGTGTAAGTTTCTCCATTAAAATTATTTTAATTAAAAGGATTTTATATCATCCTCATCATCATTTTATCTAAGTCTAGCTAAACGTGAACTATGTGGAAGGCGCCCGCATTTTAAATGGTTAAACAATGCTAACATTATGTTTAGAGTGTATATTTTGAAAACCTATAACTTTAATACTCTTCTTGCGTGATAAAACTTCGATTCGATTTGTTATGCATCACAATTATGCGCATTAACGCGATAATAATTTTATTTACCGCCTATATCCATGAGGTTAAATATCTAGAATCAATTTATTTATAGACCAAAGGCATCATTTACCAGTCAATCCAGGATATGATGAGAGCTTATGTTATGTACATCAAAAGATGCAAAAGTTATATAATTTTAAATAATTAGAATGAATAAAATATATTACTTTTTTTATGCGAAAAGTTGCTAAACGAGCAGACGGGTCACCTGACGTTAGGTGAATACCGCCGCCCATGGACATCTACTACACCCGAGGGGTACAGATGTGTTGACAACCTTTTGAAAATTGGGCTCCAGCTACCTCACTCACCAGACGAAACGCGAAAGTATTTGTCATACTTCCACTTTACGCTGGTCTTCTGTGAGTTCGTGTTAGTTACCAGAACGGGCCTGCCCGTTCGTGCAACAGCCAAGGCTTCTGCGTGGCCCTACCACCGTAAAATTTTATTACACCGTAAAATAAATTACAAATAAAAATAAGAAATATGTAATAAATAAGATTTGAAATATTGAATATATAAAGTACATCTTTATATCCATAAAGTTATATACTTAAATTCATAAATAACAATTTACTTCTAGTTATAATAACGGACGATAACTTAAGTAAAGGTTGTCTTTAGCTGTCACGAACCAGTCTTTTGAAAGAGGTCTTACTCGATGCATTTCTTACGTCATCCGGCAAGGAGTTCCAAAGATGTGCAGCTTACACATTTTTAATTCACACCCCCACTTCTGTAGAAACATCTGGATATAATGTACCAATGTAGTTCAGCGTCCGCATAAAAAAGTAAGGTAACGGTATATAAATGCCCCACGGCTGGGCAAAGGCCGCCTCTGTAAAGAGGGTATCACGGCATATTCTCATCATCATCGACTCAAATGCGGATCGATCGTATTCAATTGAGTATAAACGAATACATTACAATCCAACTCAAACCATTTCAATCGCTCTTTGCAATTTGCAGTGAAATAATGAATCGAAGATTCGCAGACCCAAAAAATACGCCACCCTTTACAGATTTTCGCAACGTTGACCGGTTGACCCGATAGACTGTATCACTGATCGTATAACAATCATAAAAGTTTTCTCACCATTGACATTCTGTCTCGTAATAACGGTGAACTACATTGAAGAATATCTTTAGCAACCTGCAAGTGTGTTCGCATACTTTTTTAGACGATGACTCCGTGGCGCAGTTGCCAAAGTCGGCGTTGCCAAGGTCGGCTTCGGCGTCGGGGGCCGTTGGTTCGATTCCCACACGGTACAACTATTTGTGTAACCCACAGATAGCTGTTTCGCATCTGGGTGTTTGTCCACGTGAAATTTATCTTTTTAAAACGCCCTTACAACACAGGATAATGTTATCCTAGAGTAGCGACAATGTGTTAAAAAAAAGAGATGTTAAAGTCTACGTGTTTTAATATATTACTAGGTTTAACCTTGCTATTTGTAATTTTACGACTGTAAAAAATATATTAAAGATTTATTTGGAGATGCACATATAGTGTGATTTCAAGTCGATACAAGGGTTCTTCCTTCCTTAACCTTTGTCTACTCAATGCAATGGCCTTTTCGCGAGTGATACACTGGCTATTTTACTGAACAAATAATCACGCTTCCTGTTGCAAAATACCTCTCATCATGAAAGGTTATTCTAAAAAAAGCATTGAGGTGTCTATCTACTTAGAATCAAACTATAAGACTTGACCTTTTGCTCCAATCGAAAATGTATAATTAAGGATCCATACATTTAAATCAATAGCGTATGAGTGCCAATTATTTAGTTATTTCATTATATACTCAAATAACCATATTATGACTGGTTTTGATGTACCGGTTCTAGAATACGTGGAAATTATTCAAGACACTAAATAAGAATACAAATATACATAATAACTATTCGAAATCGTCCCTACAATATCACCCGATCTTATAAAACATAAAATTATTTAAAATACTTTTTAATTTAAAACATTAGCTAGTTATTTATTATATAGCAATAATTGGTGACAAATATGTTGATCTCATAAAACAAGTTCCAGTCATAAATATACAACATAACAATATTAAAAAACGTCACCCGGAAAATAACTTACGTCGGATGTTCTTGACATTGTAACAGTTATATAATCGTGTTTACTATGTTGTGACTTTGCAGAGTAAACTCAACGCAC